CACCTGTTCCTCTGGGTGCTGCCTTTTGCTTTCCAGTTGGGTTTGTGCCTGAATTGTGTGGCGGGTCTCTGGGTGCAATCGTCCTATGTCAGTGATCACTGCACAGCCAGGGCTGTGCGTCAGCCCTCCCGTGCAGCCGGACCTCGGGGCCCACGGAGAACTTTTCTCCGGGCCCAGGAACGGAGCCGGGGCACACTCAGAAGCTCGGCAGCACGTCGCTGGGCCAAGGGTTCTGTCCTGCCTCCACCGTGGGGACCGGGTGTGGGGGGCCCCCCAATCATGCCCGGTGCTGTGTCTCACGCTGCCCACACTGGACAGCGGGCTGGACTCCAGAGAGAGGGTGACCGCCACCTGCACCGAGGGTGAGCCTCAGTGATTCCCACCACCCCCGCCCCCCGCCCAGGAGTGGACAGTCCCTTCCTGTCAGCTTCCCTGGACTTCCTGCCTCTCCCGGTGACTAAGTAAGGGGCCATCCCCGCAGTGAAGTGCGTGTTCGTCTCTTGCCGTTTTCAAGGTCGTTACTTTCACAGAACTCCGATGAGGCCGGGGCTTGTCCAGTCCGGGGGCGTGGGGGCACAGGCCAGTGCAGGGCGCATGGGGCCTGAGTTCATGGCCCGCAGCACCTCACCTGTACATGTGGCTGAGACTACACCCAGGCTCCTGCTCCCCCCACAGCTCGCACCCCTACCCCCCCCCCACCTCAGCTCTGCATGCAGCGGGAACCAGCCCCGAGGCCGGGGAGGAGTGGGTGAGCCCACCCGGGCAGGGCTGTTCCGGTGGGCTCAGGGGGGTGTGGGGACACATCCTCCTGAGTCGGCTGCCCCGATGTCCCCTGTGGACCCTGAGGTGGGCACCGCTGCCCGCACCTGCCTCCACCTGGCCTTGCCCCCCTGTGAGGATGTGCGAGTCAGACGGAGGAGGCAAATCCTTCCTGAGAGACGGGCACAAGCAGCGTCCACCCCGCCCTTCCCATGGTGTCCGAGGGTGCTCCGAGCCCCAGCTCGACTGTGCTCCATGAGAAGTGCTCCACGTCACGGGAAGGGGGCCGGGCACCTGCTCTAACTCAGACATAGCAGGGCACGGAGGGATGGATGGGAGGAAGATGTGCCAGCCTTCGGGATCAGCGGTCACGTGCGCACCGCCAGGCGCGTCCCCCGTCACGGCAGAGAGGTGCCGAGCCCTCGAAAACCCCTCCTGACCCTTCTCCTGCTTCCCAGCTTGGCAGTGCCCAGGGGTCTCATCAGTAGAGCGTGCGGGGCGCAGACCCAGGCCTGCTGCCGCCTTGGAGGGTCCCCGGCACTGTGATCGCTTTTTTTTTTTAACATTTGAGGATAGCACAGCAGGTAAGGTGTTTGCCTTGCACGTGGCCTACCGGGCCGACCCAGGTTCGATTCCTCAGTTCCTCTCAGCGAGCCCGGCAAGCTACCGAGAATATCTCGCCCGCACGGCAGAGCCTGGCAAGCTCCCCGTGACGTATTCCATATGCCAAACACAGTAACAACAAGTCTCACGAGGGAGACGTTACCGGGCCCGCTCGAGCAAATCGATGAACAATGGGAGGACAGTGACAGTGACAGTGAGGAGCATTTTATTGGCCATAAGGCCCCGAGCACCACCAGGAGTGATTCCTGAGTGCAGAGCCTTTGGGAATCAGGAGGTGCTTCCTGAACCGGTGATTCTAAGCTGAACTTTGAAGAATAAACAAAGATTGAGAAATCAGAGAGAGAGAGAGATATCCATTCTTCAGAATAGATATTTATGTAATATGCTGCTTTTTCTTTTTTTGACTTTTTTGGGTCACACCCAGCAATGCACAGGAGTTAGTCCTGGTTCATACACTCAGTAATCACTCCTTGCGGTGCTCGGGGGACCATATGGGATGCTGGGAATTGAACCTGGGTTGGCCATGTGCAAGGCAAACGCCCTCCCCGCTGTGCTATTGCTCCAGCCCCTTTGTTTTGTTTTTTTGATAGCACAGCAGGGAGGGCATTTGCCTTGCACGTGGCCAACCTGGCCCACCCCAGTTCGATTCTTCCACCCCTCTCGGAGAGTCCGGCAAGCTACCGAGAATATCTCGCCCGCACGGCAAAGCCTGGCAAGCTCCCCGTGGCGTATTCGATATGCCAAACACAGTAACAAGTCTCACAGTGGTGACGTTACTGGGTCCGCTTCAGCAAATCGATGAACAATAGGAAGACAGTGCAGTGCTAATTTAATTTTTATTAGTGAAACACCATGGGGTACAGTTGTAGACTTACAAATTTTTGTGCTTGGGTTTCAGTTATACAGTGATCAAGTACCCATCCCTCCACCATTGCCCGTTCTCCACCACCAATGACCTGTGATGGCTTTAAGGAGCAACTAAGGCCCCTGAGCTCTGGCTGGACGCTGGCAGGACCCTGGCCTGGCAGGCACAGCTCCGTCTTTCATTCTAGATGCTTCCCCAGGAGGGGCACAGAGGGTGTCTGGGGGGGTCTCACTAGCCCCAGCTGAGCCCACCCGGCCTGTCCTGGGGGGGCCCCAGGAATACCCATGCCTCTCTCTGTAGCAGGGTGCAGCAGGGTGCAGCAGGGTGAGGGTGGGTGAGACCCCAGGGGGGACAGCCCCTCCTTGGCCTCTACCCCCCAGGTGCAGGCAGGAATCCCACCCACAGGGGGTGCATGCATGCCTGAACACCCTCAGCCCGGGGGTCACGGTGGAGAGCTCTGAGCTCCCTACCTCCCCCCGCCCCTCCCGTGGAACCAAGGGGGAGCACCGCCCCCTCCCCCAGCTGGGGCTGCCGTGTCAGGTGCCCGCTGTGGTCTTACTCCCCGACCACCCTGCGCTCCTGTGCCCGTCTATCTGTGCCTGGTCCCCGGGGCTGGGGGACGGGGGGGACAGAGCGACACTCAGACTTGGGCTGAAAAGGAGGTGAAGGGGCACTGGGACGTCTGCGCGGGGTGAGGGCCCAGGCCCGGCTAGGTGGGCACGTGCTGCAGGTGGGTGGGGCCTTGGGGAGCCTGTGCCCAGCCTCGGGCCCCTCCCCGGGCGGGCTGGTCTGCGGTGGGTTCTTTTTTTACAACTGTTTTGCCTTTTCCTTCCGCCCTTGAGCGCCCATGTCCTGCCGGGGGTTCCACGTTCTTTTAAAGAGCTCGGCCGGCGCCTGGGTCCCGGCTGAGCGATGCTCGGCCCAAAGCGTCCCCAGAAGCCCCGAGGTCTGCAAAGACACAAGGTCAAGGTGGCAGAAGTCCAGCGGCCACCCCCTGACCAGGCCAGCTGGGCGCAGGGCTGCCTGCAGGAAGTTCTTGGGGAACCGCCCGATGGTAGGGCTGAGACCCCCGCGGGCCTCTCACACACTACGGATCGCGGTTCTCAAGAACGGGACCAGGAGTGGTGAGGTGGTGGGTCTGGACACGGTCCGTGGGTCCTGTAGACAGACACCACACCCCCCTCCACACGCACACACACAAACACACACAAACACACACACCTGCTGGGATTAGCCCCACCTACCAACGGCCCTTCGGAGGGGCTTCACAGAGAACAAGGGGGGCTCTTCGCTAAACGAAGCCTTTCTCCACACCCGGCAGTCCTGCAGGGGAGACCCCCACCCCCAGGGCCTCGGGCAGGAGTCTAGGGCCGCCCCCCCTTTCCCTGCGGAGAACCGGGCATGCCCCGAGCTTCTACACTGGGGTTTCCACCAGGACTTGGGTCCCTTGGGAGCTGCTGGGCGGATGCCACATGACCCAGCCTGCGGCTTTGGAAGAAAAATGTCCTACTGTTCTGTGGTTGCTTTGTGGAAACGGGCCCTGAGGGAAGAGGGAAGCATTTCAGGGCCACTCCGGGCCCGGTTGCGGCTCCCACTCCAACATCTGCCTGCCGATTTCCTTGCGATTGTACCAGTGTTTGCAGAACCGCCTCAACAAAAGCCCCGAGTCCCGCCCGCCTGTGTGCCCAGCTCTTCAGAGCCGCGTTCCAGGGCTCTTGGAAGGACTCCGGACCCTTCTCGCCCCCTGCAAGTAGAAGTATTACAAAATACAAATAGACTAACCCCATTCTCGGGGCTCCTCCCCGCACTCGGGGGCACGCGGGAACCGGTGCCCACGCAGATTGCCAACTCAATTCCATTTTGCTCACCCCACACCCCGGCTGCTGCTTGGGCGGGATTAACAAAGAAAACCAGGGCTTAATGAATCGGTCCCGAAGTTCAGAAGTTCAGAGCAATTTGTCTTGAGAACAAAGTCTTCCCCCGGGCCCAGAGGCGGTCAAGGGGGACTCCGGGAGTTAATGGGATTATTGAAGGTCTACCTGAGACCAGACAAATATTTGATGATTCTGCAAATCTCCGGCCTCCTCGGTCCGTCCTCCTCCTCCGCCAGCACATTCCCCCCCCCCCCCCCAGGGGACTGGACTTTGCCCCTTCACTAGTTCTGGCGAAGAAAGGCGGGGTGCCCGGGTTCCCCGAGAGCTGGGGCCCGCTGGGGGGCACCCGGCCAGAAGCGCTCGCGCCCCTGCCCCGTCTGTGCGCGCGCGTGGCCCCTGCCCGCCTGTGTGCGCGCGCGTGGCCTCTGCCCGTCTGTCTGCGCGCGCGTGCTCCTGTGCCCATCTCCACGTGCGCGCGTGTGCCTGTGCCCGTCTCCGCGCGCGCCCCTGCCTGTGTGTGTGCGCGCGTGGCCCCTGCCCGTCTGTGTGCGCGCGCGCGCCCCTGCCCCGTCCCCGCGCGCGGGCGCGTGCGCCCCTGCCCGTCCGTGCCCGTCTCCGCCCGCTCCCCTGCCCGTGTGTGTGCGCGCGTGGCCCCTGCCCGTCCGTGCCCGTCTCCGCGCGCGCCCCTGCCCGTCCGTGCGCGCGCGTGGCCCCTTGCCCCTCTGCGCGCGCGCGTGCGCCCCTGCCCGTCCGTGCGCGCGCGCAGGGGGAGGGCGTTGCGGGCTCCAAACCTGCCATCTAGAGGCGCCTCCCCGCAGTGTATATAACGCGCTCGGCGCCGCCCCGGGCTCAGTCTGCGGCGGCTCCACGGCCCGGAGCAGCGGCGGCGGCGCGCGCGAGCCGGCGGAGCGGGGAGGCCGCGGGGCAGCCGGAGCCCAGGTGAGGGCGCGGGCCGGGCCGGGCCGCGCGGGGGTCCCCGGCGTCCCCGAGGGCCGCCCCGTCCTCCCTTCGGGACCCGGCGGGCGGGGGGTTTCCGAGTCCGCGGGCGCGGCGGCCCCCGAAAGTTCCCGCCGCGTGGCTGGAGCGCGCGCTGGGGGTCTCCGCTCACCCGGGCGCGCCCCCTCTCCCCGCGGCCAGCCGGGAGGGGGGGGGCGCCGCGCGCGTGTGTGCATGCATGCATGCACGTGTGTGTATCTATGCTCCTGTGCATGTGTGTGTGCACGTGTGTGTGTGTGTGTGTGTGTGTGTGTGTGTGTGTTGGCGCTTGGCATCTGCCGTGCGGGCGGCGGGGCGGGCACCCCCGGGGCTCCCTTCGGGAAGGCGGCTGCGCGCGTCTGTCTGCCCCGAGTTGGCCCCGCTGCCAGCCTGTTGCCCCGGCTGGCTGGCACAGAGCTGTGGGGGGGGAGGGGGGCAACCCTTCCCGGGGTCCCCCCCGCCCCGCCCCGCCCCGGGGTCCCCGCTGCAGCCCCGCGCGCACCTCACGGCAGCGTTTATTGTTCTCTTGGAGGGTGCGAAGCTGCAACTTCAGCGGGCGGGAAAGAGCGGCCGGGAGAGCGATTTTGCCGTTTCCAGTCGATTCTTCAGGTAAAGCGTGAACGCTGGGGTCCCCCCCCGCCCCGTTTCAGCCTGCGCCAGGGGGTCCCGGAGCCCAGGGGGTCTGCAGCGGGCGGCCGGGCCGTGCCGGGACTTGCAACTTGCAGGAGGAATGAGAAGTTGTAAAAGTCAGACTGGCTGGCTCCTGCCTCCGCCCCCCGTGCGCCCCCTTCTCCTTCTCCTTCCCCTTCTCCGCTTCTCTCCCTCCCTCCCTCGCTCGCTTTTGTGGCAGCCCCCTCCCCTCGGTCCCCTCCCCCGCCCGCTTGGAGTTGCGTCTCGCCGGCGCGGGGGCGACGGGCAGCCCCCCTACCTCCAGCCTGCAAGCTCTCCTCGCGGGGGAGGCGGGGACCCGCCGGCCTTTGTGCCCGCACCGGACCGGACCGGGCCGGGGCCAGACGGGCTGCCCCGAGCGGGACTTGCGGCCCCGCGGAGGTCCCGCGCCCCCCGCCCCTGCCCGCCCCTCCCCCTGCAGCGCGGCTCCCCGAGGCCGCTCCGGGGGCTCCGGCTTGGAAACAATTTGCCCTTTTTCCCCACCCCGGCCTCTGCTTAGAAACCCGGGAGCAGCCGGAGCGCGGGGCGCCGGGGGGACCCTCGGAGCGGGGCTGGGCGGGGGGCGGGGTGGGCGCGAGGGGCCGCGCGCGCCGCCCGTTCGGCTGTTCCTGTGCGCGCTGCAGCTGCGGCCGGGCCGGGGGGGTGGGCCGGGCGGGGGCTCGCCCCCCCCCCCCACCCGGGAGGCTTTTTGGGTGAAAAACAAACCAGGACCGGAGGGCCCCGGGGCGCTGCTCCGTTTGCAGGACGCGGTTGGTGGGCGACCCCGCTGCGGCTGCGGGGGGCGCGCCTGGGCAGCCCCGGCCGCCAGGGGGTCCCGGCCGGGCGCGGGAGGCCCCCACCCCCGCGGGGACCCGGAACACGCCTGGAATCCGGGCCGGGAGCTCCCCCTCCCCCGCCCGGCCGGGGGGCTGGCCCAGGTGGGCGCAGGGCGCACGTCCGCGCGCACGGGCCGGGGCCGGATTTCTGCCGGGCGCTTTTGTTACGCAAAATCCGCCAACTCCGAACCCGATTAGGACCCATCGACCGCTTTGTCAGGAGGGCGCAGGGAGTTGTGTATTGAGTTGTGTATTTCGGGGTGAAAATTGCACCCGGCCCGGCGCCCCTCCCCGGGCTGGGGGGCTGGGAGCCGGGAGGAAGGGCAGGTGGGACTCGGGGACCGGCCAGCCCTGCCCAGCTCTGGGTGTGGACCACTTGTCGGACAGTGTGGGGGGCAGAGCCCTGCCCGGGGGACCCTCTGGAGGTGACCGCGACACCCCCCTGGGGTGTGAATGTGTGCGTTTGCGAGTATATGTGCGTGTGTGCCTGTGCGGGTGTTGTGCGTGTGAGTTTGTGTGTGTACGCGTGGAGTGTGACTGCATGTGTGTGCATGTGCGTGTTTGTGGATGTGTGCACGTGTGTATTTGCATGTGTGTGCATGTGTATGTTTGTGCATGTGTGCACACGTGTTTGTGGATGTGTGCACGTGTGTATTTGTGTGTGTGTGCACGTACATGTGTGTTTGTGGATGCATGTGCACGTGTGTGTTTGTGCATGTGTGCACGTGTGTTTGCATGTGTGTGCATGTGTGTGTTTGTGTGCGTGTGCACGTGTGTGTTTGTGCATGTGTGCACGTGTGTTTGTGGATGTGTGCACATCTTGGTGCATGTGTGTGCATGTGTGTGTTTGCGTGGCGTGCACGTGTGTGTGTTTGTGCCTGTGTGTGCACGTGTGTGTGCCCGTGCCTTTCTGGCGGTGCCTACCGGCTCGCCTGACTGACACCGCCCTGGGGACCCGCGGGGGTGTGGGTGCCTGTCATTCCGGGCCGGCCTGGCCTCAGGGTGCAGGGTGTTCCTGGCCGAGGCCTCTGCCTGCCTGTGTGTGTCGGGTCTGCCTTGTTCTCCCCTTCCCCTTTGTCTTGCTGGTTTCTGGCTCTGAAAGGATTCGAGCTCCTTCCTCGGAAACCGCCGAGGTGCTCGGGCGCATTGTTCGGCTGCGGCTGGGGGGGCGGCCCCCCTCTGCTATCAGCCCCGAGCAGATGGAGATGCGCCCCGAGCCTGGGGCCTCCCTGGGGCTTCCCGGGCCTCCTCGGTCACTCCTCCAGCCACTGGGCAGGGGCGGCCCAGCCCCAGGACCCGAGAGGGACCTGGTGCCCACCCCAGAGAGTATGTGGACAAGCTGGTACCCTGAGTACAGTGCGGGAGGCCCTGCCGGGGGCGGCCAAGGGGCCTGCTGAGGGGTCTCTGGGGAGCCAGGGGGCGCCCGGCTGGCCGCTGCTTATCTTATCTGCCCCCTGGCGCCTGTTGGAGCCCACTCAGGGCCACGCTCCAGCCCTCGGCCCGGCCCCCACCCTCCTGGGCCTCCTGCCTCGTCACACCCTCACCTCTGGGACCCCTCTCACGGCACCCCACCCCAGAAGCCACTGGTGTGGCCCCCACCTGCCCCGGGGGACTGTGAGAGGCAGGAAGTGCCCGGCCCGGCGCCCCTCACCTCAGACTGGAAGGAAGGGGCCCCAAGCTGGCCTAGCACAGGCTGGGCTCAGGCCAGGGTCCAAGGCCCCTGCAGCGTGTGGGGTGGGGAGGTGGAGACCCCCACCCGCGGGGCCAGCCAGGGCCTGAGGGGAAGCTTCCCAGGGCAGGGCTGGGACTGGGGCCCCGGGGAAACCGATCCCCAGACAGGCCCAGGGAGGGAGGCCAAGGGGGGAGAGGGACCCATTTCTGCTTTTGTTCTGGAAACTGGAACCGGGGCCCTATTGTCTGTGGTCACGCCCCCCGCCTTAATCCACATCCTTCTCCAGGGCCGCTCAAGGTTATGGACAAAAGGGCTCCCTGCTGCACCCTGCACCCCCAGGGACACCCACCCCGTCTGTCTGTCTGTCTGTCCCTGCACCCACAGGTGAGGGAGTGTGGCTGTCCTGGGGCTCAGGCCCCGGACCCCAGCCCAGGCCCCCTTTACTGTCGACACCCGACTGTGGTCCCTGTGCGTGGACACGTGTGCGTGTGTCTCTCGCACCCAGCTAGACTAGAGGTCAGCATGTGTGTGTGCATGCCTGTGAGTGCTTGTGTGTACCTGTGCGTGCATGTGTGTGTTTGCGTGTGTGTGCACACGTGTGTTTGCATGTGTGTGCATGCATGTGTGTGTTTGCGTGTGTGTGCGAGTGAGACACCATTGGGGACACTGGCCCGTCTCCAAGTGCCCTGAGTCCCTTGCTCCTGTGGGCAGTCCTTGGGCAAAGCAGGAAGATTGTGGCCGAGGCTGCTGGGCCCAGACCCCCGCCTGTCTCCCCACCAGGGTCTCCCGAGGGGCTCTGCGGGTGGGCCAAGGGCCCCTCCCGGGACGGAGCCCAAGGCCCCAGGTGCGCTGGCACAAGCAGACGTGTGAACCCCCAGCACCTCTGTTCAGGCCCCGCACAGCCGCCAGCAGGGAGCATGTCCACCCCGAGGGGTCAGTCCAGCCCCCAGCCTGGGGTCCCACTGCCCTGCGGGGACCCGCCCCCCAGCAGCGCCCCCATGCTCACGACGCAGCTTGGCCCTGTGTCCTCTCGGCTGCTGGCGCCTCCCCCCAGGGCTGACCGCACCCAGGGCCAGGCGGGAGGAGGGGCCTGTCCCCCACTTCCTGGCCCTCCTCCTCCACCCCTGCCTGAGGGGGGCCCACGGGGGCCCCCAGAAGGAGCAAAGGTCCAGTCTGGATGGCAGAAGGCCCCTGGCCCTATAATTCATCCCTTTAGCCCTTCTGGAAAGTTCCCTGTGCCGGGGAGGCCTCCGGGCCTGATGGCTGCTCCAGCCTGAGAGCAGCGTCACTGCGTGGGACCTGCGGATGGACCGGGGGAGGGGTTCCCAGGAGGGTCCCCAAGACTGTCCCCCATGGGAGGTCCCCAATGTCCCCCATGAGAGGTCCCCAAGGCTGCCCCCGGAGGGTCCTCGAGACTGTCCTGGGAGAGTCCCTGAGACTCCCCCGGGAGTGCCCCCGAGACTGTCCCGCAGCCCAAGTGCTGGTAACCCCCCTGGCTGGCGGCAGCCCCAGTGCCAAGCGTCAGGACTGAGAGGACACAGCCTGGCACTGTCCCCAGGGCGAGGGCCGCCGGGGACTCAGGGTCGCGTCTCCATGGGGCTGGCGAGGGCGGCAGGGAAGGCTTGGCACCCGGGTTGGGCTGGCAGAGACGGGCCTCGCCCCAGGCGTATGGCGCGTCCCTCAGGCTGGGCGGGGGGCAGAGAGGGCGCTGGTGGCCCCTGGGCCCGCAGCTCCTGCGGGGCCACTGGGGACGGGGTTCGGCGTCAGAGGGAAGCCACCATGCAGGCGAAGGGACTCGCGACGGGGGAGCTGACCCGGGTTACGGGGGTTGCCCTGCCGGGAGGTGCCTGTCCCGGGCGGTGGGCTCAGGCGACCTGGGGGGTGGCAGTCACTAGAACCACCCAGGGGAGGCTCTGACTGGGCGGGGCGGGCCTGGTGGGAGGGGAGTCCTGGGGGTGCTCCCGGCTGCGAGGCCCCTTTGGGGGTCCTCAACGCACCCTGAGTCTTTATAACAGAGCTGCGGGCTCTGCAGTGACCAGGAATAGGGGGTCGGCTGTGGCCCTATGGGAGCGGGGTCTGGGGCTTAGGGGCTGGGGGACGGGACTTTCTAGCATGTTCCCCGCTCGGTGTTGAGATGGGGGCCAGCAGGAGGGTCCTGTGGGAGAGGAAGGGACCCTCGCAACTGCCCCCTCCCGGGCCCTTGCATGCACTTGGCATGTCAGCTGCCCACGGTGAGGGCCCGCGCGGTGGGTGAGGGGACCCCTCGCCCCCGGGAGACGTTCTCTGCTTCCATGGCCTTGTCCCCCGGTTCTCGGGGGGCGACACCCCACTGTGTCCTGGGGTCCAGCCTGGACCTGGCTGCCCCGAGGTGGAGAGATCCCTTCCAGGCCCTGTGGTCTGGGGGCCACTCCCGTGTGGGGTGCCCAGGGTGGGGGAGGCAGTTCCGAGTGCTGGTCCCACCTGGTCAGCGGGGAGACCGCCAGAGACCCCCAAAACGCGGCAGCCACGGAGACTGCATTTGGAGCTTTGCCCCCAGATTCCCTGATGGGCGACTCTCGGGGCTGGTACTGGGGACAGCTGGGCGGCCGCCTGACCGTGTGGGGGGCTGGCTGGCAGGCCGGCGTTGCCCCATGAGGCCTCCTTTGTCCAGCCTCTTGTCGGCCCAAGGTGGCTGACCCGGGGGACCCACTGGGTCCCTTTTGTGGGTTTGGGGGTGCAGCCTCGGCCCTTACAGAAGCCCCAGCGGCGCGTGTCCCGCTGACCCGTCCCGCTGACCGACGCTGCTCCCACCTCGCGGCTGCCGGGCGGGTTCCCTTCCAGGCTGGGGGTGCCCCGAGTGGACGGTCCCCGCGTGACCCCTCACGTCTGCTTCCGGGGAGAGCGCGCGAGAGGGGGCCCTGGGAGGACGCTCTGGAATGACGCAGCCGTGTGTGTGTGTGTGTGTGTGTGTGTGTCTGTGTCTTTCCGCAGGCGGCACCATGGAGCAGCCCCTCTTCGACTACGCCGAGCCGGGGAACTTCTCGGACCTCAGCTGGCCGTGCAACAGCAGTGACTGCATCGGCGTGGACACGGTGCTGTGCCCCGGGCTGGCCGGCAAGAGCGTCCTCCTCTACACGCTGGCCTTCGTCTACATCTTCATCTTCGTCATCGGCATGGTCGCCAACTCCGTGGTGGTGTGGGTGAACCTGCAGGCCAAGACCACGGGCTACGACACGCACTGCTACATCCTGAACCTGGCCATCGCCGACCTGTGGGTGGTGGTCACCATCCCGGTCTGGGTGGTCAGCCTGGTGCAGCACAACCAGTGGCCCATGGGCGAGCTGACCTGCAAGGTCACCCACCTCATCTTCTCCATCAACCTCTTCGGCAGCATCTTCTTCCTGGCCTGCATGAGCGTCGACCGCTACCTGTCCATCACCTACCTGGCCGGCGCCTCGGCCCGCCGCAAGAAGGTGGCCCGGCGCGTGGTCTGCGGCCTGGTGTGGCTGCTGGCCTTCTGCGTGTCGCTGCCCGACACCTACTACCTGAAGACCGTCACGTCGGCCGCCAACAACGAGACCTACTGCCGCTCCTTCTACCCCGAGCACAGCGTCCGGGAGTGGCTGGTGGGCATGGAGCTGGTGTCCGTGGTGCTGGGCTTCGCCGTGCCCTTCTGCGTCCTCGCCGCCTCCTACTGCCTGCTGGCCCGGGCCATGGCGGCGTCCAGCGACCCCGAGAAGCACAGCGGCCGCAGGATCATCTTCGCCTACGTGGTGGTCTTCCTGGTGTGCTGGCTGCCCTACCACGCCGTGGTCCTGCTGGACGTCTTCTCCATCCTGCACTACCTCCCCTTCACCTGCCCGCTGGAGAACTTCCTGTTCACGGCGCTGCACGTCACACAGTGCCTCTCGCTGGTGCACTGCTGCGTCAACCCCGTCCTCTACAGTTTCATCAACCGCAACTACCGCTACGAGCTCATGAAGGCCTTCATCTTCAAGTACTCGGCCAAGACGGGCCTCACCAAGCTCATCGACGCCTCCCGGGGCTCCGACGCCGAGTACTCGGCCCTGGAGCAGGGCGCAAAGTGAGGGACCCCGCGCCAAGTGAGGGACGTCGGGGCCAGAAAGAAGCCCTGGCCTCTCCGGGCCTGGGGGACACGGGACGCCGAGAGGCGCAGGGACGGGAACGCGGCTTGCTGGACTGCCCCTCCCCTCCCGTCCCCGGTCCGTGTGGCCGTGGGCAGCCGGCCCGGCCGGGCTCCCGGGGCTGAGCAGGACGGGCGACCCTGGTGGACCCTGGGCCCCTCTGTGCCCGTGTCTGCTCCGTAACCCCCCCCCGGAGTTTTCTAGGGCTGATCTGTATTTGAATGGCGACTTTTCTATTTTCACGCTTGGCACACCTTGTCCGTGTATTTGGAAGTGGAAGTCTCTTTTGAAGAGCGTCCGGGAGGCATGTACCCAGGATGTCGGGGTGTTCGGGTTGGCGTGCCGTGGGTGGGGCCGGCACGGCCGAGATGGTGCTTATATACATATCTATAAATATCTATAAATATATATATATATATAAAGATGGGCCAGGCTTGGCCGGGATGGTTTATTTACGACACTTTTCTACGTGTGTGGCTCGGGACGCTCTCGTCACGGACTCGAGGCAAGACAAGGCGGCACTGTCCCCGCCGCCACGGCCCGGGCAGCCGCGTCCCCGGTGTTCTTCATGGTTGTAAGTTATTTTTTTTAAATAAAGATTCCCGATGTTTTTCCTACAGAGGCGTTTGGGTCTTTGTTTCCTGTTGCTTCCTGTTCCTGTTCTGTGGGTGCCCGAGTGAAGGGCTGGGCATGACCTGGGAGCTCTGGGCGCGGCCCAGACGTGCGTGTCCCCGGGATGGAACCGTCCCTCACCTGCCCGGTGACTCTCGGCTGGACACGGGGCCGTGCTTTACTTTTGGTTTTCTGGCGATAAGAATTCAGAGATTCTGGGGCTGGAGCAATAGCACAGTGGGTAGGGTGTTTGCCTTGCACGCGGCCGACCCGGGTTCGATTCTCAGCATCCCATAAGGTCCCCTGAGCACTGCCAGGAGTAATTCCTGAGCACAGACCCAGGAGTAACCCTGGAGCATCACTGGGTGTGACCCAAATAGCAAAAAAAAAAAAAAATGCAGGGATTCCTGGGCTGCCCCTGTGGGAATCGTGTGTGGGTGTTAGCAGCGCCTACGATGGGTGGACGGATGGATGGATGGTGGGTGGACAGTGGATAGATGCAGAGGGTCCCACAGACAGTGGGGCCAGCTGGGAGGAACCCCGGCCTGGCTAGCACGTAAGCGTGCTTGGGGGTTCGGGTAAAGTCAACCCAAACAGCTGCCCTGGCTGGAGGTGGGGCTGGGAGCTGGCCCAGGGCAGGAGCTGGCCCTGGCAGCCCGGGCATCAGGGCTAGGGACTTCAGTGCATCTTAACGCACGGGACAACCCTGCTTCCCCTCTCTGCAACCTGCCACCTCCCCCGACGCACAGCCACTTGGGGACCCTGCCCTGGGGTCTCCAGCATCCCCTGGGGGGCTGGCCCAGGTCAGTAGCCCCCCGGCCCAGTCTGCTGACCCCAGGCCCGGAGCCCACACGCTGCTCCTGCCCATGCCCAGTGTGGGGCACCCGAGATCCCTTGGCCAGGGCCTTCTCCTTGTCCCTCCCCTGCAAGAGGACTTGGGCTAAGAAGAGGGAGGGACCGGCCTGGCCATGTCAGCTGGGCGCCACGCGCACCCACAGCCCCCTCAGCCACCAGAGCACCTTCTCGGCCAGGCAGCAGGTGGGCTCGGGGCTCAGGCCCCGCCTCGATGCAGACCCGGTGTGGTGCCTGCAGCCTCGTCCCAGCCCTGAGTGCCGGCCCCCTGATGCTCACGGTCCTGGGCCGGGTACTCCAGCAGGGAGAGGGGCCGTGCCCACAAGGCTCACGCTTTGTCCACACTGTGCCCGGTATCCACACCACCCGGTGTCCACACTGCCCTTGGCGTCCATACAGTACCCAGTGTCCACACTGCACCTGGCGTCCACTCTGTGCCCAGTGCCCACCATCCTTGGTTCCCACCGTCCCCCTGGCGGCCACACTGCTCGTACGGTTCTTCTCTCCGATATGCTGTGGAAGGTGCTGATCGAAGGTCCCAGTGAGGACACGGGCAGTGTGGACAGGCCAGCGCCCAGGAAGTGGGTGACCCGCTCGGCCACCCCCGCTCGGCCCCAGGCATCTCCCGGAAACGTGCCTCTCACCCTGGAAATGTCCAGGGACAGCTCGTGTTCCCAGAGGCTGGAGGGCTGCCGGGGACAGGCCAGGTGTGCCCACGTCCTCCCAGGCCTGTGCCCCCAGCCTGCTGCCCACACCGTGAGGCAAGGGTCCCCGCCGTCCCTGCGGGGGCTTCCCAAGCTGCAGGGTGGCGTGAGGTGGCAGCCGGGCCCCCCCCTGCCCAGGGCCTGGTCAGTGCCTTCCCACCCGCCTTCCCGTGCTCCTGCCCAGCGCCTCTGATGGGCAGCCGGGGTCATTCCCCTGTGCTGCGGGCGGGGATGGCCCGATCTTGTGTCCCCCTCACATGTTCCGCGGGGACGGGGACCTCTGAGTCTCCGCGGGCGTTTCCGGAACGAAACTGATTACGGTCACTTCCCCGTGGACCAGCCTCCGCGCTTGGGCCCTTTTCTCAGGAGGAGAAAGCCGGGGCAGCTCTGGCCCCGCGCGTTACGTCTGCCTGGCCGCCTCCGAATGCCGTTGACCGGGCAACCGTCCCGGGGCGCGGGGCGAGCTCGGTCCCGGGGGCCGCCAGCCTCAAAGGGCCGCCGGGCCTGGTCCTCCCGGTTCCCAGCAAAGCACTTGAAGGGGCGGCCCCCGGGGCCCTTCCTGGCATTCAGTCAGGCCGTGCCAGCATTCTCTGCACCATGTCCCACCCCCAGCCTCCTGCTAACTGTGCCTGACCCTCAGGATGTCCCTGTCCTGTCCGGCCACCGGCCTCTCCTTTGAGCACTGTCAGGGGAGTCCATGCTCCCAAAGTGGCAGGAAACGAGAACAGGACAGGGCGCTCAGGAGTGTGGGGCAGAGGCCTGGGTGCCTGGCTCCTGGATTGTCCATCCCGCAGGCCAGAGGGACCCCCGCAGCGAGGGGCCACTCGGGGTCTTGGGCCTGGCCGGAAGGACCCCATGGGGGGAGCTCTGTGCTCCATGGGCCCAGCCCACGTGACCCCCCCTCCTCTCGCCCATGGCACCCACCCACAGGGCGTCTCCCATCCTCGCCAGCCCATCCGGGGACGGGAGCACCGCAGGCAGGGGCAGGGACGCTGAGGCCCGTGTGGCTGTTGCAGGGCCCTGGGGCCGCCCCAGGGCTGTCCCCAACACCCGCCCAGCCCCCGTGCCATCTGGACAGTGGTCTCAGCCCTGGGCGCCATGGCTGAGCGTGCAGACGGCGAAGGCACCGGGCTGAGAGGCTTGAAGGCGACCTGGTGCCACGGCTGCCAGGCCTGGAACGGCTCAGAGAAGGTCCCAGGATCAGCGTGGCCGGAAGTGCCCCGTGGCCTCCGGGTCCCTGTCCATAGACCCACGTCCGGGCGAGCTCTGCAGGTGGGGAGGGACGGCCACCTGCACGTGGGCATCAAGCGGCTACCGGGAGCAGGAACCGCCGTGATCGAAACGCTGCCAGCAGACGGACGGACGGACGGACAGGCAGACAGATGCGCTCTAGTGTCCGGGGTTGGGCGGCTCTTGGCCGAAGACTCGGGGGCCGGGAGTGCCCTGGGTGGGCCGCGGAGTCAGCCTGGGCTCCGTGCCGGCTCTGTGCCCATGTGGGTGTGCCCCTCTGCCCAGCGGGGCTGGTGTGCTGGACGTGAGCCTGGATGCTGACCCTGAACCCAGGCTGCCCTGGAAGGCAGCGATGGGCAGGGGCAGACCCTACCCCCAGGCAAAGCCCACCCTGCAGAAGTCACCCCAGAGGGCTGCTCTCTCCCCGCCAGGAAAGTCTTGGGACTCCAGAAGGTGCTAGAATCAGTCAGGCAGGCAGCTTGGGGGGGGTCCCTGCAGGGGGAGGGGGAGGGGCAGAGGGGGAGGGGGAGGAAGAGAAGGAAAGGAGGGGAGGAGGAGGAGGGGAAGGAGGAGGAGGGGGAGGAGGGGGAGGAGGAGGAGGGGGAGGGGTCGATGACCCTGGCCAGCATGCGTGAGGCTGGGACTGTCCCCTCGCTGGGGACAGAGGGTGGGCAGCTACTCCGTGTAGGGACCCTGCCCCCCCCCATCTTCCCGGGCCCTGTGGGGCCTTCTGAGGGGGTGTGCGGACCCCCACTGCTGCTTCTCTCGTGGAACCAGCCCCCAGACTCTCTCTCTGGGCCCAGCGTGGGGAGTGGGCCAGGCCAGGCTGCACTGAGGCGGCCTCGCTGAGCTGGGCCGAGGACCCGGGTCTGATGCCAGAGGCCGCTGGACGTCGAGCTGGGGCTGCCTGCAGGGTCCTGTGTGCTGACCCCCCCTGGGCTCCACAGACGGGGGCTGGGGTCGAGGCCCAGGGCCTTACCGACTTACGGGGGTGCAGAGGGGACGGGGCAGGGGAGAGTCGGGGGTGCAGACGGCCGGCGTGCAGTGGGCAGCCCGGCCCTGGCTGGGAGAAGTTCAGCCCTGTTGGAGTCTGGCTCAGCCTGAAGCAGCGGCCACAGGGGGCCAGTGGGCCCAGGACCCAGCACGCGTCAGGCTTAAGGGTCCTTCCTCCCTCAGCGGGGCCCTGCTGTGGCCACTGCGGGGCAGGGGAGGGTCAGCGGTCCTGGGAGGCCTCTGGGTGGGTCTGGTCTGAGGGCAGGAGCCGCCAGCTCAGGGCCTGGCCCGAGCAGCCCCCACGCCCCCACGCCCCCGCGCCCGTAGCTCCCCCAGACTGGGCACCTCTGAGGCCCCTGTTCTCGCCTGGACATGCGTGCGGTCACTCTGAGCCTGGACGCTGACCCCGAGCCCTCGGCTGCCCACGCCTGGTGTCCAGTCTTTGACCTCGCCTTGCTGGGCGCATGAGGGGGCATACGGTGACTCTGAGGGAGGTGGGCGTGTCCCCCAGCTGAGGGGACCCTGCTCCTGGGAGAGTCGCCCCTCCCACTTCCCCGCAGTCTCCCCGAGAGCTCGCCCTTCAGTTTCAGACACAGTTCCCGTCCCCTCAGAGCACACACCCCGCCCTGCCCGGCCCCCTGTGCCAGAGACCCGCCCTGCGGTCACTTGCATAATATCGGAGGAATGTACATACTTCTGAAAATTGGGAACAGTGGGGAACACAAAACAAACTGCGGGCCCCACCTACGGTGACTCGGCACACGTCACCTTCGTCTGAGCCAGCGCCTGAGTGAGGAGGGACGGGCGGCACTCCCCAGAACCGCTGAGCTCTGCAGGAGCACTGCCCGGGGAGGCTCCCGGGGCCCTTGCAGTCCTGGAGGGCTTCCTGAAGTAGGTGACGTGGCTCCGTTGGTCACAGCCCTGAGGTGCTCACAGTCAGGGGGGTGGTCCAGGTGTGGAGAGGAGGAGCAGAGGTCAGAGGGGGTGCCCGCTTGGCGGGGGTCCGACAGCGGGGAAGGGAGCTGGCTTTTGCTCCCTCACTTCTATCATTTTGACCCAAGTGGCGGGGGTGGGTGGGCAGAACCACTGAGCGGAGACTTCTCGGCTGGGCGCGGGGTCTCCAGGACCCCCGTGTGTGGGAACGAGTGAGCGGGCCCCCTGGCCTTTGTGGGATCGACTCTGCTCGCTCCGGCCCAGCTGAAGGATCTAACGGGCATGCG